CAAAATCCTACCATGACATGGATTGCTGCCCTTGCGATATAAATGCAAACCACTAATTATAAGTTTAAGAATAATCTTTTTATTAAAGATTATTTTAAACTAGGATGCCTAAGTGATCAATGCGAGTTGATCGTTGCGGTGAGCAGTTTCATCGAAATTCACAGACATGAAGAGGTGAGAGTAAAGGAAGGCGGTCGCTGCCGAAGGCAATACCAGCGAAATAGAACCTTAAAAACAAGCACAAGAATAGACAAGCCTAAGGAAACGTTAGTATAAAAAATGTCTGCCAAGTAAATTCAATTCGGCATGTTTCGGAAAATTGTGTCCCCTTTTCAATATCTTTATCGTCAATTCCGGTTATACCGAGTACATTTATATTTCTTATGTGTCTACATAAAATGGAAATACATAAAATGAAAATAAAATATATGGATACACATATAAACGCTATAGGCATACACTTCACATTTATTATAATTCCATTAAAAAATCTAATAGAATAATCACCAAAAAACTCTGATAAAACTCATTCAGTTTTAAAATTTATATAATCTTACAGACCTTCTGTTCACTGCACAAGATGATCTTTCTATGAAGGCACTCTTAGAGTCTGCAATTCCGCACGACATATTTCAGCGATGTCATTGGCCACGTTAAGGTACTATTTCGCTGGCGCGGTCCACGGCAGCGACCGCTATTCCACGCTGCCAATCGCTGTTGGCGTAGCTATTTCGCTGAAACTGCTCACTTGGGTTGTTTTAACCTGCCTATAACCTTCGAACATTTCACTGTGTCTTCGAAGATAAAAAAATGGACATAATATAATAATAAAAATGAAGATCCTATAATAATGAACATCTCTGACTACCGCTTTTTTATTTATACCTAGACTGCCAAGCAGCGCCAGCGAAATAGTACCTTTAGATGATTGTCATTGAATTTATTATAACAGAGCACTATACTCATGACCAGGGGTATATATCTAATATATCGATACCACTTGCATCGATGTCTTGAAATATATCAGCATATCAATACATTGGATATCTTAATATTATATGGTTATGATATGAATGTGCCTTACAGCTTTAATACTCAATACCCTTAAGCGTGGTGAAATGTATTATACCTCAATAAAAAGATCAATACAAAAAAAATAAAAAATTTTATATCGAAATAACCTATTTCTTTTCATTTTACGCCAGACGAATGACACTTCCATTTTTCATTATTATTATCCTTAAGGCACTAGATGTCCTAGAATAAAATATACTTTTCTTATTGCAGCTGATTTAGCCCGTGCTAGATACCTATCGCTCCATGATAAACTCCAGTCCCATCCGAATCCACTTCTTCCCAGCCTTGCTTCTTCCTCGATTCCTTACAATCTCCCTAGGCGTCTGAAAAGAAGATGGCCTCGTGATCTTCTCACCTAGAATTAAATAGGGAGTGCTACCACTCCATGATTTCTAATGTGTGCATTTTTACGATTTCTATTGTTTATACAGTTTTAAATTTCATTAAATAAATAAATAAATAAAACTTTTCTTCTTCTTATTATTGCTATTCATTTAAACGTATCATATGAATGCAATCTCTGAACTCTATTATAAGTGTCCTTAAACTGTGACAAATTGTCATATTTCTGAATAAAGTGTTTAATAATAAAACGTATCATGAATATACTGTGAAGTACAATGCTTCAAGATTTATTGAGAAGTTAATTACTGATGCCGACAGTAAGTGATGAACTTTAAAATCTTTAAACAGGTAATTTTTGATTTTGCTAATTAAAAATTAGGGAATGTAGTTCTCATGAAAGGTTAATTTGTCATAAAAATGTATCTGTTACTTTTCAAATATTAAATGAAATAATGGTGCTAAACAGTTTACTGTTTATTTCTCTTAATATCCCAAAGTTTTTTTCAGAAAACCTGGATAAAGGTAACCTTGAATAAAATTAAATCTAAGCTATTTAAATACACCATGTTAATAAACACCGATATAACTATTTAAAAAATGCAAGTTTGAATTTTGCTTTAACTGTGGAGCGATAAGTGAACCGGCAACTTGGAAAAGCCCTAAGAGAAAAGTGAACCAAGTTTTAAAACTTTCCCCTAACTATCGGATTCGACCGAAGTTGGTAATTTCTATTTTACCAAAAGTTCCAAAACCTTACTTAAAAACTCTGTATATATTTTAATCAATATAATTTTATCTGAAAATTCGGTCAATAAATTTAAATGAATTATTAAATGGAATATTAAATTAGCCGTAGTACCAAATTAAGCCTTATCTCTTAGTTTAAGATTTTTATTACACTACGAACGCAGAAGGCCATTTGCAATTAGGTTCTCACACTTTCATAGATCGGTACTTATATGGAAAAATAATGGCGTTTATTTGAGCTGCAAAGGAATTCAAGTGAAAAACAACGAAATCAACATATGCGATTGAAATAACACTTTTCAAATATTTAAAAATTGTTCAAAATACCTGCCCATCAGTTTCAATTGACAACAAACAAATTCCTCAACTAACCGAAACGAAATAAATCTTGGACTTACCATAGATAGGATGACATAGGGTCGTTTTATAAAAATGAAACGGAAGACGGAAAACCGAATGAAAATACTAACTTTTTTTCATTCAAAACTGAAACTGAACACCTATACATACTTACTTAAACCCATACAGACATACCCATCATAGATATATGGTATCGGCAAAAGGGCTCAAATATGAAAAATTCAAACCTCACAATTAAAATGATTACAACACATAATAAAAGCACGTTGGTACGTGACAAAACTCTGCAGACCGACCTACACTTACCAACAATTGACTGAAAAATAACGAACTTTTACCAAATATTTTATACAAGTTAATAGGGACATTACAGATAGTTCAATAAGAGACATGACTACAGCTGACATACTCCTGAATATGAGAAGGAGGCTAAAAAGGCGCTGGATGTGAGATCTCCTTCCTTAATCAATTGAAGTAATAGGATCCATTCCACAAGCCTGACATGTCATAATTTGCTCTTTCGTCATTCCTTTGCTGATTATCATAATACAGTTGGTAGGGCGTAAATAAATGTATAAAGAAAGAAAAATAAGTGTGCATATTTAGCTAAAAGCTTTAAATAATAGTGTGGATAGGAACTGTGGTGGGAATTAGGAGTGTGACCTAGAGTCCACCGTAGCGTGACGTATAATAAACACGATTCCGTGAAAAGTTTTTCAGCTCTATTTAAAAGCATGCATTCATAAAAGCTAATAAAATACATTTTAAACTAAATATATTTATTCAGAGACGGCCGTGGGAGAAAATACCTTTTGATGACGTAGTAGCCGAGTCTCCACTCTGGTGACGAAACTCCTTACCCTTACCACTTTTCTTAAACAGCAATCATCATAGCAAATATACATTATAAAAAATCAGAATATTTTATTTTATATTCCAATAACGTTACCTTTACAAACCAATAAAATTTGTGTAAAATTCCCCCAATTTCTGCATTCAACATTAATGCACTAACATTAACATTAGTTAAGTACCCAAACTACCACAAAATTTATATAAAAATGTCGATCAAAACTTAAATAAGTGGCGAATAAATAGATTTAGGTACTATCGATTTTAGTCGCCAAATAATAAAATAAATAAAACACTAAATCAACATTTGTAAAGTATTTAAAATTTTTAGAAATTTTGGTAGAAAATATTCAACGGAATTCATTAGTACTGTAATATACGCCCTACAACAAAGAGGCTAATATATAAATATATATTACAGCCTATAACGATATATGCCCTGGAAATATGAGTCCTTGACGAAATCGAAAAATCATGCAAGCGGTGGAAATGGACTTTTGAACAAGGGCAGTGATAAAATCCAAAATGGAAAGATTAAAAAAAAATGAAAGAATTCTGGAACTGATAGAGAAGAAAAAGAATATTCACAATAACATTGAAGAAAAACTATTACGGTGGTAAGGAAACGCTCGAAGAATGTCTACAGAAAGATTATCAAAAATAAATATAGAAGGAAGAAGGTAGAAAGTAAAACCAAAGGTGAAATGTAAACGTGTGGTGGAAGGATGCCAAGCGAGACATGGCTTTATGAAAGAGAAAAACTTTGATCAAGAAAAACTTTCGAGAAAATATTTTAAATTCCATTCAGATCAAGGAAAACAACAATTGTGGAAAATTCTTTATTAAAAAAAATAAAATATAATGACACACAAATTAGACGCTAGAAAACATTTACTTTTATTTACAGATTTCCACATAAAGACATGGTTGCAATCATGTGAAGATCAAGCATGCGTACTCTTTCACTGTAAACTTCGCCTTCCTACCAACTACAAAATATCAGCGAAATGGCAAGAGACAACATCCTTTTTTTTTTTTTTTTTTTGTCCTTCCCTTCCTCGCCGTTAAGGCTATACTGGATTTTCCCGGGCCAGGGGGTGTGAGCGGGGATTTAAAAGACTCCCTCGGCACCGGGATGCGAACTCGTGACTATTTTTATATCTTTAATTCATATATCTGGTTGCCGGGCAACGGCGGTGCAGTGCACACGCTTTAGCCCATTCGGCCACCCCGCCCACAAGAGACAACATACTTATGGTTTATGTTACCATGTTGAGTCACAATGGATGAAAGATCTTTTTTTTTTTAACTACAGCAGATAAAATTAAGACCAAAAAGTTGTCCTAGTGCACTTCTCGATAACTGCAATTGCACCAATTTTATATTACAATTTAATTTGATGATTCCTTATATTGTAATAAGAAAAATCAACTATACAAATAATATTCGCGATGATTCAAAGAACTAAAAAAATAAGACATTAATAAAGGACATTATACTAAAGAAAGTAACTATTAATAATTGTCGCTCTCTTAGGACAAGGTAATCGAACCCATGCAACTATTTAAAAGACCATAATTATGTATATTTAGCCTGATTAGACACTGATTTAATAAAGGAAGTCATTAATGCACTTTGAAAAATCATTGGATTTCCACAATGACTCGGTCATCACTAGGCATATCTCAGTCAGTAACTGATCAAAGCAGTGGACTGTCGACACACTTCAAAGAGAACAATGGTAACTAACTTATCTATATTGGAATGGGTATATGTAAATGCATGCTTTGTAATATATATGTATGTGTATACACATTAATGCGGAGTAGTTCTTGAAGTTCAACCAAATATATTTTAACCAGGGTGGGATGATCGAAATACATTCCCTGGGTCCGCCTCAAAATAAATACCGATAGAATTAGAAACAACCAACTGTCGGGTGCTGCTGTCGGGAAATTAGTCCAGAATGATAGGCGGAATTAGCAGGAACACATTTTTTGAGTTAAGGGCTTTGTTTGGACCAGCTAGGAGGTAAACAGAGTCCTTATAATAATATAAAAAATCTAATAAAACGAAGTCCTAACTTAAAAATTTAAATATATATATTCAAGTATATTTTTATATTACTGAATGAAAAATAAATGATTAACATAGAAACTTTCAAAAAATCATTTCATATTTGAACAAAAAAAATTGCAAATAATTCTACTCTTAGGATGTGAGCCGATTGTGAAGGGGGAGGGGGCACCCAGAAGATCATTTTTTCGTTTTGACACTTATATCAGGGCGACCATCCACTGCAGTGATAAAGACGTTCTATAAAAAAATTTAAGCTGATAAAATTTGTAACAATATTATAATTAAATTTATTTCATCACATTTTTATCTTTGTTTTACTGACTTACTCTCTTCCTACTCATTCTAAGAAAAAGTCATGCAAAAGAAAATTGTGGAGAATTACATTTTCGTATAGAATATATATAATTTACTTGTATTATCCTAAAAAGTACAAAATAAATATAATCAACATTGTTGCAAATTTTATCAGCTTAAATTTTGTATGGAACATCTTTATCGCTACAGGTAGTTCTGACATAAGCGTTAAACCCCACATCCGGCTCACCTCCTAGGAGTGTGGACTTTAAGTGTGTATACCTCCTAACTAGTCCGAACAAAGCCCCAAAATCAAGAATTGTGTCCCTTCCATTTCCCTCAATACTCCTTTTTTTGAGTACTAAATGACTAGAGTGGAATTTGGAGTAACTTATTTGTAGGCGTGAGGGAGAGGAATGACCAGCGGTGCCCCTTTCTATTTTGATTTTAACATTTATATTTAAGGGAGGAGATACACCATCCAGCTTATTTTAAGGCTCCTACGGGTATTATAGGATGTTACAGGTGTTATTGTAAAATCGTTTGCAGTATGTTGGTATGTGGTCGTAAACTGTTGCCATCTATAGGTATTTACAAAAAGTTATTGAAAACCAGAGAGCTTTGGTTATTATAGTCCTAAAAGTTATTATAGTTCTTGATTGAAAAGTTTAGAGTTTACGTATGTTGGTCTTTTTAGCTGTCCCATATATCCGAGAATAGAATGTACTCAATTTTCGCCTATGTTTTAATTCCGAACGTCTTAAAAGGAGTGAATACAAACGTTGCAGTCTTAGGTTAATCTTTTTTTTTTTTTCTGGAAAAGGAATTTGGAAATATTTAATGTTTAATTAAATTACCGAAAAAATTACGCATAATTCCAATAATATAACAATTTTCACAGATACACTCAGCTTTCTAGAGTTTATAATACTGACTTTGATGTTAAAGATAAATAGTAAAGACTGAAGTGGATAGCAAAGTAGCGAGCTATGAATAGTAAGGTAGCATTATTCAGAAGATAAAAAAATGTAAATACAACGGATGATTTCCTGAATTATTGTTAATTTGTAAAAAATTAAATATTTAATTTAAATATACATTACATCTACAATGTCTGCGAGGTTAAATCAGTTTACACGAAGACAAAAACAGTTTTAAATTTAAACACTTTTTTAATAAAAATTTACACATATTTAAATTTTCAGGCAAACATGAAAAATTTAACGATAAAGGAATACTTCGAAGGACAATCGATATTCATCACCGGAAATACAGGTACCATGGGAAAGGTTCTAATCGAGAAGTTGCTTCGGTGTTGTCCTGGAGTGGCCAGGCTATACCTACTCATCAGGGGGAAGAAAAATATTTCCAGTGAGGAGAGATGGAAAGCAATCACAGAATTACCAGTAATATAAAGTTCACTAATCATCAATTAATTGATAATTCTAATAATCCACCTATCCATTAATTAAAATAATATATTATCAGAGATATACTTATAAAATACGTAAATTAGACTCTCCTATATTCGGATTAATGTAAGCGGAGAATGATCAATAAATTACATACATGTCTAAAAATACATAAGAAAAAATAGTATTCATATAATCATATATTTCAATATCGTTATTTAGGACTACACTTTATTTGTAATAATAAAAATACATATTCCTGGTTTATATTTACTCTACATCCAACGTTTCATACTTTACACCATTTTTGAAGGGGAATACCTATTTTAATCTTAAAATAATTTATACGGACAAAATACCGTCGTTAGAATACCTTATTATCTATTACTGGTTGAATGGAGGATTGAATGATAGTTAAAGTATTGTTACAAGAGTAATTTAGACAATATGCTTTTATATTAAAATAAGTTCATTCTCTTGAAAATGGCATAACAGCTGAAACGACGTTGGATGAAGACTAAAAATAAAATAGGACTATTCGGATCTAATCTGTGTTTTTATAATTACAAAAAAATTGTAGTCTTTGAGTTTATTTTAGTTTTCAATTCAGGTTTGCGGAAACTTATTTATAACTGTTAAGCTATCCGTATATGAAAGAGTCTACTATGTTTTCGAGTCATCAAATTTATAAATTATAAACATCGATACACTAGGTTAGTAGTAAGCCTTTTAAGAAGAAAACAACAAATCATAAAATAAATAATATAAAAATAAATGAATTTACGGTTATTATATTTCTTTCTTTCCATTTTATAGTTGTTTGATGTGCTGAAGAAATCTAATCCCGAAGCATTAGCTAAAGTTACGCTTATAGAAGGAGACATACTAAAAGATGACATGGATCTATCAGAGGAAGATAAGCAAGTAATATATATCTCCCTTCCTAAATATATATTATAAATTGGTTGAAAAATTAATAGGTCATATCCCATTAACACATATATAATTTTTTTTCTTTAGTGTCTCTTAGAAAATGTAACAATCGTTTACCACATGGCTGCATTGGTTCAATTTAGTGATAGCATGACACTGGCTCTAATAAACAATACCAAATCAACGCATATGCTTCTCGAATTTGCCAGGCGGATGAAAAAACTTCAAGTAAGTAATTTCTCTCAATAAATAATATCTTCTTCACAGCCAATGTTTGTTTATATTACATCTTAAAACAACGTTTAAAAACGATTGTGGTACTATTTTTTTCGAAATATATAATTTTTTTTAAATTGTTGTATTACCCCATTTTAATGGGAAATTTTAACATCAGCTGAATTGGATAATATTACAGCACGATAATCCTGGTATTTTTGGACTTATGAGTTGGTGCGATTTCCAATAAAAAATTACCAAATATTTTTTCAAAAAATACCTTATATTGTCACCATAAATGAGTGATATTTCGGATGTCTTTCAAATGCTCTTAATCTTTAATTTTTCCCCCTATTTCTTTATTTAGTTGGGAAGTTTATATAATTTATTAAAAGGTTGGCAATGAAAAACTTTTATTATAATTTGTTAATGTTATATTTCATAACATATCTTGCTGACGTTTCGAGATTTTATACCATTCTCAGAGCTATTTTTTTTCATTAAAATTCAATTTCTTGGCTTGCGTGCTAAATTTTTCATATAACTACTACCATTTTTTTCAAAACATTTATCTGGGGCTTTGCCATTACCTGACCAGTTGTTGGTAAGAATATTGGAAAGAAAAATCAATCAATGATTTTTGTATAATAAACAATTTTTATGAATAAATTTCATATGACTAAATTGGATTATAAAAAAATAAATGATTTTTTTTTTCTAGTTATTTCATCATGTATCAACTGCATTCTGCAATATGAACGTCCCTTGTGATAAGGCAATAGAAGAGGTCATTCCAGCAACTCTGGACTGGAGAGTGATCATGAAGCTTTTAGAAACTCAACCATTAATTCTTGAAAACCTCAAAGAAAAGTACAACACACATATAAAAATAAATAGTATATTTACTCACATTCACGTATTGAATTGATCAGTTTTATAATAATCAAATTACTTTTGTCTTATTATTTATTGGACGTTTCGAGGAATCTTTGTCCACTCTTCGCCAATATTTTATTCTTCCTGAAAATTGAGGAAGTCACAGTAGTTTAATGAGATTCGTATAATAGGTATAATACAATTGAATATTACGTTGGACTGCAGAGTGATCTTGAAGATTTTTGAAACTCTACCTTCAATACTGGAAAATCTCAAAGAAAAGTACAATACACATGTAAAAAAATTATTAATATATTTACTCATATTACTCATATATGTCTAATCACATTGTTGATATTTGTTACCTGAATGAACAAGTCTTCTTCACTTCGGCCTGTCTTGAGCAATTCCTTTTCATTTTGCAGCACGTTAGTCATGAAACTCTGCAGCATCGTTGTTGTTTCGATCTATTGATCTATTTATCTGGTTCCATCTGGATATTTTTACTACTGTCTCATTCATTATTGTGTAGAGACATTACTTCGAGCCGCAAGCTCTACCCATCTTAACCTCCTTGTCTTCATAGCATGTGACATAGACAGACCCGTTTCTTTAAAATTATTTTTTCCTGTTTTGATTTCAGATAGCCTCGGTTACCGTTTGTTCTTCAAGATTGTCTTTGTCATCTTATCCAAGACTAAGTGGGACAGCGTTGCCATGATATACTTCTTGTATCATTTCTGTTAATTTAGGATCATTTGAAGAACAACGACTTCCTGGGCACCGATTTTACATCAAGTGTATTAGGGCTCTCAGTTCTGACCACGTTCTTTTCTTTTGTGACCTGCCCTTGATTAAGAAGCTGTTTGAAATGTTCTTTGAAGGTGCTTAGGATCTTTTCTTTTAATGCAATCAATTTGCTATCTTTTTCTCCTCCTACACCTTCTTCTCTAAATATTTCCAGCTTGCTAGTTTTCTTCAATAGTTGACAATCTTTGTTCAGGAAATTCTCTTTTTGCTATTCTCATTATTTTGCTTGTCTTTTTCTGGTGACTGCGTATTTATCCAGTTTAGCTTGATCAGTTTTAGCGAAGCATAATGCTTTTACTTTTCTTCATTCCTTCATCATTATCTCGCATTATTCAATGAACCAACACCGAAACATGTCAGTTGCATACAATATCTGCACTAGTGCCAAGGATATAAAGTTCGTCACTCTATGTTGTTGATGAGTATTTGAGAGTCTTAAATCCAAATTGACAGTTTAGTATTATTTGTGAGTTTGTTAATATATCAATAAGCTGTTGTACATGAATCTTTTTAAAATTTTGGAACTGATAGAATTTAAGTGGATTGGTCGTTATAATGAAGGTGAATTTTTGTCCTGAATTTTGCAATATTGACTTTTCATGAACAAATTTAAAATTCGTTTTACCTTGATAAATCAAAATAATAATAATTTTCTATCATTTTTGTTTTAGACTTCTATTTGGTCATCCAAACCCGTATACTTGGAGCAAGTGGCTTACAGAACAAATAGTGGACGAATACAAAATATATTTCCCGATAGTCATCACAAGACCCGCATCAGGTTTCATTAGAATTTATTTATTTTTTAATTAATATATATTATTTTTAAATTATAATAAAAATCCCTGAAGATACACTTTCTCTCTCTCTACATTATTTTCTTTAGTTCGATAATATCTAAGTTTCTAATTTTTTGTGTATAGAATTGAGAATTTAACCAACTTACAAATCTGCTCCTCTTTTTTGGTGACCTTGAAACAAGATGCTTTGGCGACGGAGGGAATGGGAGTTATATAAGGTGGAACTTTGGACTATATAAATAACTCAATCAATCAATGATTAATACCTTTTTTACAGACTTATACATGAAATTTATCATTTTTCTGTATTTAATATATAGGGTGTCCCAGAATTGACTCAAGATTTAAATTAAATATAAAACACAGTTCTTTCCTCTTTTGTTTACATTTTGTCAATTAACCAGCTGATAGTTTAATGGTAATAAAAATGTAGCGTTATACGAGCGAACAATGCGTTTTCAATGTTGAAAATTTTTTAAAAATAATGAAAGTCTAGCGGCAACAGTTCGAAAATTTCTGTCAAGCAGACTGGATCAATTGGTCATATTTAAAAGCAACGGTCGTCCAAAAACAAGTCTCAATATCGAAGCAATACAAGTTGGCCGCAAGACTTTTATTATTTTTAAATATTGGATTGTTTATTTTGTACGAAATTCTCGTACTGTGGCCGAAAGTAAAATATATTTTTCAACAGTTAAAACACATTGTCCGATCGTATAATTCTCCATTTTTACTAACTCTAAAGTATCAGCTGTTGAATTGACAAATAAAAAGAAAACAAAAGAAAAAAGAACTGTTCTAAGTTAGAACAGTTCTTTTTTCTTTTGTTTTCTTTAGAACTTCTAACCCGACCGTGATTATATGTTCAACCTAGCGAAGCGTTCAAACTTTAATGAAGCAATATGTCTATGTTATTTCACTCACTCCAGAAATTATTCATGTATATTATATTTGTCCAAGAAATCGCCGCTCGTATCAGATTAATATATGTTTCTGTATGATAAGGATATTGTATGAGATCATAAGTAATTATTTAATTGAGAGGAGCTTTTGTTATCCAAAATACAGATACATTTTAAATTTATTATACAATCAAATTATTACTTTTTATCTATGACTACTTTTTATCAAATCATTGACATCGTAACCTGTATTTTTCTTATTTACGAAAATTCTCGAAATGGGGGTTTTTCTATTTGGAGATGGGCAAACTTTGTCTATTTAATTAGGTACTAAAAGCTCATCAACACACATTTGTTTTTCACTTGATTCGTAATAATTTTATCACAAAATCGATAATAAAGATATTAAAAAAAATATTAGACCTTTTGGCGTTACCTGTATCTCCAACATATCAAATTAACGATATTATGTAGGCCAACGGCCCAATATTTTTGTAGGTCGCCTTTTCTCGATATTGTGATTAAATTATCTCACGATCGAAGTGGAATGCAAACGGGTATAACTGAGTTGTTAGAACCAAATTAAATTAATTATATTAATGAGAAAATTCCCTATTTTTTAGAATTTTTGTAGATACAACTTTTAAGAATATGATAAGATGACGCCTCCACGAGGTTTTAGGTGGATGTTAATAATTTGACAAAAAGTGGTACCACGGACTATTGCTACTCGTGTAAACAGGATAATAAACCAGTGCATCTTTCCAATTTTAATGTTAATATTAAGCGTAATATTAAGAGAAATATAATGGCATGTAACAAAAAAAAACATAAGATTTAAAGCTTCTAAAGTAAAGCTAAATATATATATATATATATTTTTTTTAACAGTGTCCAGTACCGTCAGAGATCCTTTTCCAGGATGGCTTGATTCCAACAACGGCATATGCGGCTTTACAAATGCTATAGGTTTCGGATTGTTGCGAATTGCATTTGCAAAAGAGGACAACTATACCGACTTCATTCCAGCAGATGCATCTATAAATACAATGATTGTGGCCTCGTGGAAGAAGTATAAAGAGCAAGTATTAAACAAATAATCTGTTGTTTCATAGTTTTACATTTCTAAGAGTTCATCTACTTAATTTATACGTTGAATAACTGGATCTCTGGTTATAATATGTAAAATAAAATTATACAAATTATAGAGAGACTGTCATTAGTAAAAATCCAGATGTTCAAAGGATATAAAACAGTCTGATATTATCTGGTATTGGGGCCAGGGGTATATCAAAATCGAAAATAGAAACCTTATCCCAGTGAGTTCCCTCAATGAAGGAAAATATGAGAAAAATTAAAAGTGAAGGGAATAAAGGTATAATTAATAAGAAAACAAAAATGAGACCTGTAAAAGAGAAAAAAATCATGCACAACAAAATAATATTAAATAAAAACATTCATTCGTTTATTCCGAAAAATCATTTTAGAAAATTGAATTAGTGAATAGTTGGATGAAATTTCCTATTGTGATATTCGAACAGTATTCACTTACAATTAGTGTGACAACTTTTGACCTGTATATGACAGACAATGCAAATCTCTAAATTCCGTTTTAGTAAACTTTGCAATGGAAAATAACAGTTTAATAAGCAATAGTCGTACAATCCATAATCAATGGATAATAGAATCCATAATCAACCGGTAATATAATAAATAGGACTTTTGTTAATTTAATGGTATTTATAATTTGTCAACTGTAATGTTTTAGCTTTAGCTCGGTTAAAAATGCAATTCAAAATTTTATAATAGACCAATATGGACAAAAAAAAATTACTATTAAAGAGTTGAGCGGTAAGTGAAAGTTGAGTGTTGCGCGCACCAGATTTTTCAAACTATGTCATTGCCTTGATTCGGTGGATTTTATATCTTTTTCTTCAAAATAATTTTAAAATTTTACATTTAATTAGAATTAGTTAGGAAATTTCATTTCATTTCCTTGAAAAAGAATATGGCTTACGTTAAATAATATCAGTTTTCAGAAATTATGGTTTATAGTTTTTTCGTCACTTTCCATTACCTTCTACGACTTTGTATGTTAGATATTGTTTGTTTTTCTTATTATAAAATTCTCAGCTTTATAACAATACATTATACATAATATTCACTTTGTTATTTCCGCAAATTTATTTTCATATATATATTTTTTTTATTTATGACATTTACAACTGTATTAAGAAATAAAATACATTTAGTAAATTTGATAACAGAAAATAATAACATGAAATCACTTTTTGAGAAACTACCCACTGGTAGCACTCTAAAAAAATAAAATATATTTACAATAGGAGATCTCGAGGTCATCTTCTTTTAAGACGCCTCGGAGGTTTATCAGGAATAGAAAAGGAAGCAAGATTAGAGACGAGAGAATTCGGATGGTTCTGAAGTTTATTACGGAAGGATAGATATCTTGGAAGGATTGGGACAAATCGGAAACATAAGGAACATTAAGGTTGTTATGGATTATTTTATTGGTGACAAAGTAAGGAGCATTGAGGATTTTCCGAAGGATTTCGGATTGTAAGGATTGGATAAGAGAGGAATTCGATGGCTTAGTGGGGCCCCAAAGCTCAACTCCGTAAGTCCAAATAGGTCTTATTGTAGTCATGTATATAAGTCTTTTGTAATTAACTGGAAGCTTAGAGCGTTTGTCTAGTAAGTGTTGGAGTAGTTGGAAACGTTGAACGGCTTCTTGTTGTTTCAGTCTGGTATGAGGATTCCAAGTTAGACGTTTGTCCAGGTGGAGTCCTAGGTATCGGAATTGTTCAACAGGGATAAGTGGCAAGTATTATTAAAAGAAACTGTAGGACAGAAGGTCATAGGTTTACGGCGAAGGGTAAAGGTGATTCGATGGGACTTATTAGAATTTATTTCAACCCTCCAGTTCGACAATATTGTTCAAGATTATTTTCATCCTAAAATAAAAATAAAATAATTTCCATTTTTTCTCTGTTAGTCAATTGTCAAATTCGTTCTAACTTTAATTTTGACAATTTTTTGTTGTTACTGACAGTAAGAGACAGTTAATTTTAAAATTAAATGTGCTTTAGAGGAATAAATATTGAACATTTATAACGATTACTAACGAAGGCAAATACACTCTTTCGAACCCTTTCAAAGAATAAACGTCTTTAGGTTGTTAGTGCAACGTCTCCCTTACAAGTCTAATTGGCTAAAAGAAATTCACTTATGTTTCAGCTAAATTAATTAATAAATTGTGTTATTGTTTTAGACCAGCTCCGGAACGTACGGATGTCTACAACAGCTGTTTAATAAAGGACATAAAAATAACCGGATCCGACTATGTGAGGCTTGGACGGCCTGCTATGGTGAAATATCCCTCGAAGCATATCGTGTGGCCTTCCCACGTAGTAATGACCACTAATGAGCTTTGGTACAAAATATTATTCATATTGCTTCAATTGGTTCCAGCGGTTTTAGTGGACCTATTTTGTCTGGTGCGAAATAAGAAGCGAAGGTAAGATAAAACTCAATTTATAAAATATATTTCAAATGTGCGTCTATGAAACAAACAAGCATTTGTGGAGATTGTATTGCATTTTATTTTTATTAATGGACTGCCAGCTTAAAACGAGCGCGTTTGAAAACGGTGTTCATTGAAAGGGTAAGACGGTTACCAAATGCTTAAAAAATGCATGGATGTTAACAACATTTTCACCCGGTGTAAGGAGGGTAGACGAATAGGCAGATGATATTCAAAATACACTTTGTTTCAAACTGCACATCTCTTAGATCCTAAAATATTTTATATGTCGGTATCAGGAGAGGGTATTGCACAAGCAGACAAAATTCAAAATACACATTGTTCTTGTTTCAAGCAAATATGAAACAGTACAGCCCTCAGGTGCTGTGAAACATTGCCTGCCGAAATCATTGAGTGTTTCACCGCCAGACTAAACTTAAAATTCTAATTTTTTTTTTGCACAAACGCATTTTTTGAATATCAGTCACAGTCCAATATGAAACGTCACACCCATTTACATGCTAAAAATACTAAATTAAAAAGGAAGCGTTGCATCGGCAGACTAAGTTCATAATTCTCATTATTTTCCTCCAATAGAACACTTTTTGAAGCCGATTATGAAACATGTATGATTTACTTTATTTTGTTTTATTAAAATCATGAGAACTGCACACCACTGCATGTGTTATTATAAGGTATGTAAACCTATGACTACCTTTCCTACGGTATCCTTTAATAACACCCTACTTAACTCTGTTGAACAAATACGATATTTTGGACTCCACCTTGACAAATGAATCACTTGGAATCCTCATACAAGACTGAAGCGACAAGAAACTGCTTGAGATTTCCGCTTACTCCAACACTTACTAGACAAACGCTCAAAACTTCCAATAAATTACAAAATACTAATATACATGACTATAATAAGACCTATTTGGACTTACGGAGTTGAGCTATGAGGCTCCACTAAACCATAAAATTCCTCTCGTGACCAATCCTTACATCCTCCTTCGTAAAATCCTCAATTCTCCTTACTTTGTAACAAATAAAATAATCCATAATGATCTTAATGTCCCATATGTTTCCGATTTAGCCCAATCCTGATACCTATCCTTCCATAATAAACTTCATAACCATCTGAATCCTATCGTTTCTAACCTTGCTTCCTCTTCGAATCCTGATAACCCTCCGAGGCGTGTGAAAAGAAGATCGTGATCTCCTTATGTAGACATATTATTAGAGTGCTATCTGTGGGTAGTTTCTCAACAAGCGTTTTCTAGTGATTATATTCTTGTGTAAACATTTACTTGATGTATTATATTGTAATTCAGTTGTAAATATCTTGAATAAATAGTTAAAAAAAAAAAATATATATAGGATCTCAGTCAATATATTCGCAGTATCCTAAAATTAGTCTAGATGAGAAATAATTGAAGGTATTTACTTTAATGTTAATAAGTGTTCAACGATGATTTGAAAACATAAAAGATATATACCAATAAACACAACACTGCAGAAATAGATCCGATAAACTAAGTCATTGCTACTACGGTGAGAGTAACAGAAAGAGGAACATACACTTACAAAAATCTAATCCCAGCAAAGGAGAGTAATCTGGTCCTCTCCAACTGAACTGAAAAGAAAGCTATACGTCGGCCGAGAGAACCTGAGGAGGTCTACTCAATTCTTCATTTTAGTTCCTAATCTGGGAAGAACATATAAGGAAGAACATTGAAGAAGAAGAACTATGTCATTTTGGACTCCCTGTGCATGGAAAAATCATCTTTTAAAAGTGCACCGCGGTGGAAAATACGTTGAGTTATAAAATCAAGTCTGCTTCAAAATTTTCAGCATCTGCGGGGTATGCAGATTCATGTTGGCTTGAAACTGATTCTCAAAATTTGGACTAAGATGTGAAAAACATTAATTTATATTTTATTTGACGGTGCAACCCTGATTCCGTCAGACAACGTTCTTTGACAAAATTATAATAATTCTATTCATCAGAATAAATGGACAAAAAGTTATTAATTTGTTTTATCTTATTCTTAATAAAATTTTAGTTTTAGTTTTTTTCTGATGAGAATGTTCTCGAACACATGGTTCCAGGGCAGTGAATATGACGATAAAATCGGCTAATATGCTTCGAATATACAAGGAATTCACCAAAAGAAAACTCGGATTTCCGAACGACAAATTCAAGGCTCTCAACAATGATATACCAGATGAGGAGTGGGACACGTTCAACACAGTGTACAAGGGCTTAACGAAAGAATATTTGATATCTATAGGTTACAAATCAATTGTTAAATACTATCTAAAAGAAGAAATCAATGAAGAAAGTATGATTAAAAACAAAAGGCGATATTTTTGGTGAGTATAATTCGAAATATTTAAATTTATAACCATGATAGGCATAATGAACAATAAATATAAATAGTTGAAAATCAAAAGATCGGGTGTGCTCACAAAATTAACCGATTATGAAAAATATGCGTGCTTGAAAAAAAATAGGAAACTAAATATTCCAAAGAGGGGTATGAAAATATATCTATTTCTGAAACCGCCCATTTTTTCATAATATGTGTATTTCTTAAGTATTTCTAAAAAAAAATCTTCAAAAGCTTTTTTTAATTGTTCAAATAAAATCAAAAGTAAAATCAAGGTTTTAATAATTCTCATAATTTTTATAATTCTCTCCCCCCTCAATTTTACACCATTTTTCTCTCTAAATCGAAATCTAATTAACCTTGTGTTTGTCCAAAAAAAAATGCTTTGAAGTTTAATTCTCTACAAAAGTGGCATTGATCAAGTTTTAATGTTTGTTAATTATTATTAAAATAATCATTAATTTTTGGAAATATGTGTTAGAATTTTTTTTTTAAAACAAATAAATAAAAATAGGTTAGAAGAATCCATTTTGAAATTCCAAATTAAACCAAAACTAATTATAAATTAATCTAAAGTGGTAAATCAAAAACATTGGACCCATTTTCAAGAATATTGTAAAAATAAATAAAATCAGTGGCTAGGCTTGGGCCAGATCCAATTCTCCCGAGTGCTACCGAACGGTCCCGAAAATTCACGAGAGCAGTTCGTTATATCAATGTGGAATTAAATAATCTTTTATATCAGCTTGATCTAACCGGCATTGTATACTTCGACAAAGCTTCAACGGCGAATTTTCAAAATTGGTTTCTCTACAAAATGTTTAATGTTGTTATAGTTTTAAAAATAATCAACCTCTTTCATTGCTTGAAGTCATAAAAATGGATCCATATACACCACAAAAGATTTTAATGATCAACTTACGATTTTCTCAGATTGGAAAAAATTGTCATTAAAATAAAAATATTTCTAATAAATGTATAATTGGCCTTTGGAAAGGTAGAGCTAATAGGAAAATTAATATATAAAATATACACCCATAGAAGGTAATAGAAAAACATAACTAAACAACTAATAGTTTTAAATTAATGAGTTGTACCATCTAGAATCTTAATTTGACTTATTTACATACCCGTACAACCTTATCTAAAGTGATAAGTGATAAGTGAAGGTTATGGGCACATACCGCACCAGTTTTCAAGTATTGAAAGTCAAAGGAACTAAAATAATTTCTCTATAGATTTCGGAAGTGTCTTAAAAAAAAAAAATCAATTGTGTTCTTTATTTTTTTTTTCACAGGTTAATAGTAATCGACGAAATTATGATTTTCTGCTTTTGGATGTTCGGAGGTTACTTACTCACCAAAATACTTGGTTCAATGCTGTAATTCTGGTAGAATTATTCTTGCAACACAGAACATTACTTCAGAACAGACGAAAAAATGAACAAAAAACTTCCTAAACTGCATCTCGATTCTTTAAAACATTCAGCAGTTTGTGGAAAATGCTTTATTTCCCATCTTCAAAACCATAAAATAGAATAGAATAAAATATAATTTATTGCATAAAGCAGTACATGCTTGTTATATAAATTATACTGGGATTGGCACTTTAAATATAATATTAAATAATATTTATCTTTCCAAATTTAAGGCAAATAAACTTCCATTTAGTCTTTTTTAATAACATCTATTGCATCTGAAGTTTTGGGACAATTTTCCCATCCTCAAAGAATCGTTTATGTTTACTTGACTTTGTAATGTGCCATCAATTGTCAAAAATTACAATAATTGTCATATCTATTTAAATATAATACTTTATGGTGTTACACATTCATTTTCTGTCCACTATCACAGTAACCAACATCTAGTTCCTTTGAGAAATGGGAAAATTGCCCGAAACGTCAGCTGTAATAAATGTGATTAAAGAAGAATTAAAAAAAATGGAAGTTTATTTGCCTTAAACTTAGAAAAATATATAAAACGAAGCTTCCTAAAAAGGGAAAAATAAGAAGATAATAATATTTATAAGATAAGATTGTATAGCAAGTAATTCTTTTTTATTTTATATAGCATATAGATAAAAAGTTTAACATTCATGACCTAAGATTTCATAACTATATATTGTATATAAATAATATATTTTTTACAATACATATTAAAAAAATTGCTTTTTTATATAAATATACCTATACTTATCACCCCCAACACTTAAATAACCCAGTCTTATCACTTCGCTTTGGCATTTTAAAAATAAATCAAAACATTATTAGATCAATTAAGAAATCACAAACTTTGTTTACTGCACAGGTATAACCGTACTATAACTAATAAAACGTTAGCACAGGTTATCTATCATTCATTCAAAATGTGTGCTGACTGCTTAGTAGGTTAGCACATTAAGCATTTACAACAAGTGCATGAATACCCCTAATGTCAGCAAGGTTAAATCAGTTAAAAAGTAAGAAACCCACTGTAAAAAAAACTTTTAAAATGAAAGGTTTTTTTATTTATTTTATAAAAATAAAAATTTGATTTGTTCGGAAACTTTTTTACTATATTTTTTACTATATATATATATATATATATATATATATATATATATATATATATATATATATACACACACACACACACACACACACACAGACGAATTCCGATACAAATATAATAAGTAACTGGAAAAGAGGAAAAAAAATCACGTTTCCTTCTATGAGATCATATCGAACCATTAAGTTTTGAAATTAATAAAATCTAGAAATATAATATTTTGTTTTACATGAACTTATTTAATATTTTTTTATTTTTAAAATGAATATTTCTAAACATGGAAGCATGGGGCAATAACACGTATAAATTTATTCCGTGCGTGTTAAATACATTTGCATAAGAACACTCCAATAAGGCTACTCATTAATACCTAAACAATATCTATAGGAAATTATTTTACATATAATAATCAGCGGATTAGTGCATCATCGCCGGTGGAAGAGAAAAGACTTATCAGGACAGAATGGTTGGTAACATAACATACAATAATAACTATATAATTATAATGCTTCTTTAGCAGTTTATAGGTTTAGCAATGAGTGATAACAATAACTACTACGATAAAGCATATTTAACAATATTTATTATGACAATTGGTGAATAAAATTACATCCCAATAAATGTTAATTATACATAAAAAAAATTAATATTATGTATATTATATATTCTAATTATAAAATAAAAATTATTTTAAATTAATTGTAAAAATATAATTGTCATTATAAAATGTATTTTTACGGAATTAATATGCGAATTAACAACAAATATTATTTGTGTTCTCCCTTAACAAAAAAAAAAAATAATAATAATAATTCATAGGTGCTGCTGTGTTTATAAAAATTACCTCATATATCCTCCACCTGTATATATTTTTAAAATTATTTTAATTTGTTATCTTTGAATATGAAAAAATATTAGTTTTCAATAATCAAATTTTAACTTCGACATAAACTCATCTATATTTACATAAGGTCATCCGAAAAAAATTCCGATATCATATTTTTGTCTTAGTTCACTTATACAACATTTTTCAATAATTGTTTCAAGGTGCTCAACAACAATTTACAGCTTCATGTCTTTATTATTATTTAAATTATAGCAAGATAAAACAATTATATGAGTGCCTCAGGTTCAATGAGTTTTTCGACAGAGCTTCTGGTTAATAGTATTATTATTTCTAACTTATGTCAATTGAAGAAATATAATTTTTATTTTGTATTAAAGATTAATTTAAAAAAATATATTATTTCTAAACCGAAGTCAAGAAAACGCGAAAAAAAGTGGCTAAAACTACAAATCAACAAAAACTAATATATAAACTAATTATAAATATATTATTATATAATAAAAAAATTATAATGCGAAATATTGTCAACGCCCAAAACGTTCAAGTCTCATTCATCATTACTAATTGCAACAATACTGTTATTTTGGATCATGACCTCTCATAGGAATACAGTAGGATTCTGAAGGTTTGATTTATTTTCAACATATCCATAGGCGATATTACAGCATTCCTCATTTTAAAGATCTTATTAGTCTTCTTCAGGTGTTAATGTTAGTTTAATCGCTCCCAAAATATAAGGAAAAATAGTTATAAAGGAAAACAAATTTTATTTGCAAAAATCAAAATTTGTGCACTTTTTATTTTTTATTTTTTTTTTGGCTGTTCCCAAAATCATTAGAAAGATTGCTACATTACCTACAAAACAAACAAAAAGCTTAAAGTTCGGACTATTATTAGCAAAGATACAGTCGTTTATATATTAGATAGAGTTGGTATACATAATAAATTCTTTCTATTAAAGGATAGTGCATTTATTATTCTACTACCGTTTTTTCCCTTACTGATACATACTTCTTGTATCCTTTAGGACATATACCATATTGCTATTTGTACAAATATTTTGGTCAATTATGTTAAATGATCTACTTATTTCCATATTATTTTGCCATTCCTTCACTAAGCAATATATTCGGCGAATTATTCCCACGGGCCAACTAGAAATTAATTAAATAGGTAACGTTCAACAACCTTTATTTTATTTTATTTTTCGAACATAATTCTTTTGTTTCTTACTGAGTCTAAATTCTGTTCTTGCTCTGGCATTTATTATATATTATTATTGTTGTACCTTCTTAACATAGGTGCTAAATAATTTATTTCATAACCTAATACTTTGTACAAATTAGCGAATTTATTTTATTCTGAACTAAAAAAACTGTTTCTAATCATTAATATGAACCTATACCACACCACCTTGCTCAAATTGTATCCAATGTTTTGATAAGAATAGGATAACCAATTAGAATAGAATAATATTTGCTAAGTCGTGTGTGCTAAACACAATGGATATCGGCAGAAACAATGTAGATGTTAAATTCACACACAAAGACAAACGTCCAATCCGATCGAAGCAGTTTGAGTCCAGAGAACGAACGGGGCAGAACTAATTCCTTTCACAGTTTTCAGTTCAATGAACTCTATAAAAACCTTTTCTTTAATCTGATCTTTCCTTATCTTTCCCTTCTACTGCCTCACCTTTCATTTTACCAGCGGGATATTTCTCCCAGATGAGTTTCCTGCCAGTTCAAATAATATTTCAGATCAGAAATACCTCGAGGCGAAATTTAATTAGGATTATCGATAAATTCAACTTAAAATAAAATGAAATAAATTATTTAATTTATAAATTAAAGATTATAAATTCAAATAATTTTATTAAATCTACGTTTTATCCTATTAGAACGAACAGCAGTCATATTTATTATATATTTGTATTAGGAAGAATTAATAAAGTTTTCAAAGTATAATTTTTTTTTTTTTATCATTTTTTATTAACTTTCTACTTTCCTTTATATGTAATACATAGTAAGGGTGAGTATTATGATCGTGAACGTTTTTGAATCTGAGTTTTCAACAGAAATACACAATTTATAATTTAGAGATCTCCTGAGTCCAAATAACCACGTCTGGTGTGTTTGTGAACAGTCTAGTTAAAAAACGAAAACTGATAAGAAACTGATAATACGTATTTAAGATAGGTATATAGGTATAGCTTTTTCCTTAAATAGCTTTTTTAACTTTTTCCTTAAAATTGGCTAAACGGAAATGCCACTTTATATCAACAGTAAAACACATTTTTACAAATGCGTCAAAATTATCTCAAATACGGCTCTAAAGGTTTAGATTAAACGCGGTTTATCATTGTATAATTAAGTGATCTTTAATTTCTTATCCCTATTAATGTCACTTTACAGGGCTTAAATGCCCAATGTTAATATAGATCTTCCTCTAAAGTATCTTTAATATGGTTTACTTTAAATAATCGACTCTCTTTTATTGACAGTAACTTTGAAAAATGGTTAGATGTGAACTTTAAAAGACTATGATCATCAATCCTCATCCCCATCCCCACAGATATTATTACAGTAAGGCTCAAAATTGGTTTTGTACCAAATATAAGCTCCTGTCATGCTCAAATACCATGAATGGGGTATCGTTGGATTCAGAATATTCATGGGGGGTTAGCGAATCGTATTCTCCTCTTTTGTTTTTCTTTATAAAATAAATAAAGTCGATACAAACATTTTGCTAGGCTTCAATATTGGAACGGTGGTAGGTATGTAGATCGATACGGGACAAATTGGATCTTGAAGATTTTGATGACTAAAGCAAAACCCGGATAATTCCTCCGAAACAATCGGATCCTTCGTTTTTAAGCCCAAAAACGTAGTATTTTCGAGATGACGCAAGGCATAGGGTTCGCAACCACACAACCTTACGTTAATTGTAGTACTGTCATTGAAAATACGTCTCATTTCGTCGACTTGAGGTTTCTATGATCGAGAAAGATGGAGTTTATATTATTTATCGATGGTGTTTTTGATCGGCAAACCATATCAACGTTAAATTTTCACCAAATTTCAAGATTGAGCCACCAATTTCGAAGGCTTCCTTCTCCTTCAGAAGGGAAAAATAGTCCAATCATTCCGAAAATTCAGGCAAAAAAGTTATTAAACAAAACAAACTTTATTTGTGAATAACTAAAAAATTAGACACTTATATATCAAATATTACAAAATTCCCTACAAACGGAAAAAAAATCATCGAAAACGGACAATTTTTACCAAAGATACAGCTTACTGAAATTTGTGAATATATTGGTTCCAAACAAAAATGAAAATTTAAATTAATTTTTGTTTTCTTTGTCGATTATATTTATCGATAAAGTAACACTTGATTTCTTTATCTGTTGATACGTTCCATTTCTTATTAATTTGGCATTTGATAACAATATTCTATGCGAATTTTTAGCACGGGCCTACTAGTATCAAATAAATAAAGTTGTAGAAAGTAACGGAGAGTGGCGAAAAAAATATAAATACTAATTTCAGAAAACTAATATTATTTAACGTAAATCACATGTTTCCTAGGAAATTTTCTTACTATATGTAAAAACTTTTAAATGTTTTTTCAAGTGTGAAAAAAAATACTTAAAATCCATCAAATCAAGCAAATGCCATTGTTTAAAATACTATTTCATTCTAGTTGTGTGAAAGAAGAAGTAAAATATAAAAATATTTCATGGATATGTTGATAACCTCAAATATATTTACTATAGAGTATTAACTCTAGATAAGATATTATATTTAAATAATTTGTTATCAATCGGTCATTTATTAAAAAAAATGATCATATAACCATTTAGAAAATTAAATCAGTGAATAATTTGATGAATTTTAGTGAATAACCCATGTGATGAAATATTTTAATTTCATATGAAATATTTAACATATTTTCATTTGAAGTACCGTTTCCCTACATTTTGAAAACTAACTTGTTAATACAATGAATTTGATTGTTTTTATCTACCTAATACTTGTTTTTCAAACTGACTAAAAAGCTTTTAGTTAGAAGTAATAGCTTTAAAAAATTATTTGGCAGAAATATAATAAAAAAATTTACATAAATCATTGAATCGTTACCATAGGTCTGGAAAAAAAAATTCAACCAAAAATATAACGCTCATAGAACAAAAATTAGGAAGTTTTTTTCGTCTCCTGCACATTTTTAGTTTTTGTTCTTACAGGCTTTTGCAGTGTGGCTATCAACATATTACATACAACATAGAATTTAAAAACATATTTGACTAACATATATAGTGTAGTTGATTGTATGAAGTTTTTGCAAAAAAAAAAGAGTTAAAATAATAGTGATGATACCAATAATAATGAGTGCAACAACGTTTTGTAGTGATATGTAAAGAAAATTATTTGAAAATAAGGTACATACAATGTTGTATTACAAATATTATTAGCTGTATTATAAAAACAAAAATTACAGATTATCAATGTTAACAGCTTTTGAAAATAATATGAAGACCTGATTAATTCCTTCTAACTAAAATGTATGATAAATTTCATAAAAAATACTTTATTATCATGTTAATATTTCACCACGCGCTGTGCACTGCGATAAACCAGCAATACATTTAGATAATGCAAGTTGGTTAAACAATAATATTCAGCCAGCAGCTATTTACTCTTGATCGATGAAGGACCAGGTACACATTTACAGAAGCTGAACTTACAGAATATCTCCTGACTACAGAGAAAAAACTATTTATTTATCAATGAAAGCAAATTTATTTAGGAATAAGCAAGCATAGAAACATCTAATAAAATTTGTTTTAATAATCGTTGTTGGATTGCATTTTTCACAGGGCAATTCCAAAGGACCTCCGACTTCCATACCGGAATACTTCGCAGGACAGTCGATATTCATCACCGGTGGAACAGGACTGATGGGAAAATTGCTCCTTGAAAAAATTCTCAGGTGCTGCCCAGACATCAGGACAATATACCTGTTGATTAGGCCTAAGAAATTTGGGACTATACAGCAGAGATGGGAAGAAATCATGACATTACCGGTAATACAATATTAGATAATTGTTTTTAATTGTACCGATCCCAAGCAATAAATACATAAAACAGTTCATTAGAAGCATAGAATGATAAAAATAATAAGTACCCTCTTCGCATGAATGTACTTGATAATTAAAAGAAATCATAATACCGAACACAATCTCTCAACAAGATTAGATTTAAGTCAAAGAAGATTTTTAGAAGCCACATAACTTTTATTGTTACAGCTGTTTGATATCCTTAGGGAAACTAACCGAGACTCATTTAGCAAAGTACATCTCGTTCGAGGAGATATAGCAGAGGAAAACCTCGGGATATCACAACAAGACACAGAGGTATTAATCTTGCATGATTCTTTTAAAAAAAAAAAAGATTTAAGATATATATTAGTTTTTAGCTGAAATGTTTAATAATTTTAAAAAAATATATTCTAGATAAAGTTAAATTTCAGATGCTAATAGAAAACGTGACGATAATCTACCACGCTGCTGCGATGATACAGTTCACAGACAACCTATACGAACTTTTAATCCAAAACACCAGAGCTACGTATCAACTTCTTGGCATTGCCAAACGGATGGTTAACCTACAGGTAAAATACCAATTAGAACTACTAGAATTAAAAACCACTATACTGCTGTTTATCTACTATATATACTATATATATATCATATATATATATATATATATATATATATATATATATATATTATATAAACAGCATTTTCCGCTCAGCCAATGTGAGCTACTATCTTCCAATTTGATGGATGCAGCTCTGCACTATCTTTGAGTTGATTGTACCAACCATCTGGTTTTTAGGTCTCCACGTGTGGCATTTGTTGTTTTGAAAAGATTTCCTGATGAATTACTTTGAACAGGTTGCTTATATAAAAATTCTACCTCGAAGCCTTTATATCAAGATATATAAATAGACCAGATCTTTATTTTTATTTATTTATTATTTTTTTTTTTTTATTCATCCCTTTCTGGCCTTTTAGACTGTACAAGGGTTTTCCCTGGGGCAGAGGAGGGAGTGATGAATTAATACCAGAGTTTAAAGCTCCCCTTGGCACCTGTAATTATTTTGTGCAAAATAATTAGCCCGCTCGGCCAACCCTCTCCTCGACTAACCAGTTTCTATAAATAGTTCTTTATTGGTACTTTTTCTCCATGCAATAGTATTCTGGATTGCTCCAATTGACCAAAGTAGGATTTCCCTATCTAATCTTTCAATAATTTTTTTTTAAGGTGCTGATAAGATAATTCAGTCGTACTTATAAAATATATTTCACATCATTAATTAGAGACTTCTTGTTATTTTTTTCTGAACTTCAGTACTTTAGAAAGGGAGAATAAAATTGTTTGAGTATGTTATACGACGGCCAATCTCTCAAAGAAATATTGAGAATATCCGAGGTATTTCAATCGGTCAATATTTGGAAACTACTTTCCGACTATTAATCTATTCTAAGCTTATATTTTCACCTCGTAACTCTGTTCACTTATTATCATACTTATACCAATACAAATTCTTCACAACCTGATCTGGGACAAACAGTTTTCCCACAACGCTTTGGGCGTTTTAATTATGCAAAGACCCGGAAGCTAAGAAAAATATTGAGATGAATATATTGTATACCTCCGCTTCCTCTCCTCAAGTCCAAATACTTGTTCTTGTTCTTTGTCTAACCAGCAACCATTAATAATTGATAGTCAACTATTTATATTAGTTATTTTTTATTGTAATACATTTTATTCCATCTGTTACTTCAAATATTTATTCATAGTTTTTGTTTTATTATTAAATTTAACCCATTAACGTTATCTATTGTATAGCAAAAACTTTGTATAATTCAAAATATTCATCTGAGTTATTCTTTACCCTACATACTTTTATCTATATATATATATATATATATATATATATATATATATATATATATATATATATATATATATATAAATGAAATATTTCTTTCTTTCACCGATTAATTTATAGTCCGAGATTGTCGGTTTGTCCCTGGCCTCAGGTATCGAAACTCTATTTAAAAACTTTGAAGAGGAGCCCATTGTAAACTTAGTAAAAATCCGAGATCGAAACGTCGAATAAACACAGAAGCAATCAACATTTATTAGGTCATTGAATAATTAATAAGTGACCTTATTTCCAATCAAATAATTAAGTTTTTAATTTTTAGCCTTGATGACAATCTATGAGCTTTGGTTGTTGGCTAACCTAATAAATCAGTATTTCCTGATTACTTTTCATTCTCCGACAAATAATTTATTAAAAAATTATTGGATAATTGATAATCGTTGTTAGTGGATAAGTTCAATAGAAATAAATAGAGATGTATTAGGATAAAAGAAAGATCCCCATCACCTAATTAGAAAATATCTGTAATATTTTATAATAATAAAATAAAAGGAAAATAAATTTATTTTTTTATTTATTTTATTTTATGCAATTTGCACCTGCGCAGCTGCGCATCTAGCAAATTTGTTGTATTTTTATTGTCGTGGTGTGATTGCTTGATTTTTTTTTTTTTTTTTATTGATGTAGTAGGTCTCTTGGCCATTTTCTTCTTAATCTTCGTTGCTCAGGTAACAGGGAGCAGGAGATAGAAAGAACCAGAGGATTGGAGTGATTTTGGGTTGAAGAATGAAATGTAGTGTATTTGTCGTGGATGTAGGATTTTACTGTTGGGATGTTTAAGTCGTTATGTATAGTAGTGTTTGAAATGTACCAAGGTGCGTTAACAATTTTTCGTATAATTTTTGATTGTGCTGTTTGTATTTTGTTTATGTGTGTTTGTTTTGCTGAACCCCAAAGTTCTGCTCCATATGTCCATATTGGTCTCAGTAAGGTGTTGTAGATAAGTCGCTTGTTTCGTAAGTTAAGTGAAGATCTGTAGTCCAGAAGATGTGAAAGTTGGCTATATCGTCTAGTAAGTTCTTGTCTTTTTAATTTCGTATGTATGTTCCAAGTAAGCCTTTTGTCTAAGTAGAGTCCAAGGTACCGTACATAGTTCTTTGAAGGCACTGGATTATTGGCAATCGTTATGGGTGGACATGAGGCTTTCCTAAGAGAGAAACTAATGTGGGTGGATTTTGTACTATTAATTTTGATTCTCCAGTTTTCAAACCACTTTTCAAGAGAATGAAGATGGTTTTGTAGGGCAATTGATGCGATAGTAGGATTTTTGTGTGAAGATAGAATAGCAGTGTCGTCAGCGAAGCAATAAATGGTGGTATTAGGGTGCTCAGGGATGTCAGAAGTGTATATAGAATAGAGGATTGGGCTCAAGACGCTACCTTGTGGTACGCCTTTGTGTTGGGGAAAGAAGGAAGATACAGAAGAGTCTACGGAAATACAGAAAAATCTATTAAGAAAGTAGGATTGAAGAATTAAAAAATAAGTGGAAGGTAAGTGCGGTTTTAGTTTCCATAATAGGCCCTTGTGCCAGACACTATCAAATGCTTTCTCTATGTCGAGAAAGACGGCAGAGCAATATTCCTTTTTTTCAAAAGTCATAGAGATAGCATCTACTATCCGATGGCACTGTTGCACAGTAGAGTGATAACAGCGAAAGCCAAACTGGTGATTTGGTATCACTTCACTATATTCTAGAATAGGCTTCAGTCGGTTTAGTAATAGTTTTTCAAATAGTTTGCCCATTATTGGAAGAAGTGCTATAGGACGATAGGATGAAGGAGAAGTGGTAGGTTTTGAAGGTTTGGCAATCATTTTGATTGTGGAGAGTTTCCAAAGGAGAGGAAAATAGGTAGTGCGTAAAATGGAGTTATAGATATGTGTAAGAAACAAAACAGCTTTTCGAGGTAGGTGTCGAAGAATGAAGGGAGTGATTAGATCATAGCCAGGAGCTTTTTTGTTTGGTAGTCTGTTGATTTCTTTGTAAATTTCTTTTGGATGAAATGCCGGTGGGGGTAGTGATAAGGGTAGTGGTGTTGTCAGTTCTTCTTCTATTGCGTCAGTAAAATTATTGTCCTGTATTCTGTTTGTCCCAAATACTTGTGCAAGATATTTAGCGAATTCATTGGCTTTTTCTTCGCTTGTTATTGCCCAAGTGTTGTCTGTACGTCGGAGAGGGTATTGAAGGTCTTTTTTCTTTAGTATACGTCTTGTTGTTGTCCATATTGATCCATTTCTATTGTTTATTGTGTCTATGTAGTCTTTATAGCTGTCATTTTTAAATTTTAATAGTTTTTCGTGAAGTTTTCTAGTTAGTTTGTTGAGTTCTGTTTTGTACGATGGATATCTAGTTCTTTGCCATAGGGCTCTAATCCTACGTTTTTCTTTTATAAGATTATGTATTGGCTGAGGTAGGTAAGAAGCAGGTTTAGTGTATGTCTTTGGTGGTCTCGTTGAATGCCAAATAGCCTCTTGTATACTTTTTGTTAGGTCGTTGACTGCATTGTCGAGGTCGTCAGCTGTACTAATTAAAGTGTTTAACGTAATTTTGTTGTTTAAAAAATGTTTAAAGTCGTCCCAGTTTATGTAACCGTTAATTAATGTCGGGGGTTTGGGTTTAACGAAAGGGTTGTTCGAAAGTTCAAGTAAAATTGGGCTATGATCAGATGAAAGGTCAAGGAGAGAGGAAACGTTGGAATGTGCATGTGGTAAGGAGCTTGTGACAAAGAAATCAAGAAGATCGGGAGACTTTGATAGTGAAGTAGGCCAGTAAGTAGGTTGAGATGGCGAAATTACAGAAAATTTCAAATCTTCAATACATTTTTGTAGTCTTTTTCCACGAGTATTGGACACTCTAGATCCCCACCTTGTGTTTTTTGCGTTAAAATCTCCTCCTACAATGAATGATTTTCCCATTGTCGAGAAAATAGCCTTTAATTCATTCGTGGATATAACTTTATTGGGAGCTATATAGACTGAGGCAATCGTGAGTTGGAATTTTGAGGAGTTTAGAGAAATATTGGTGTATTGTAGGGAATTCGTAGAAGCAGCAGGAAGAATATGGTGATTTAAGGACTTGTCCACAATAATTGCAGTTCCTCCATGTGCTGTGTGGTCTGGATGGTCAGTTCTGTAAGTTTCGTAATCTTGTAGCTTAAATGTTTGTTTGTCTGTTAAATGAGTTTCAGTAATCAGAGCTATGTTTATGTCATGTTCTTTTAAACAAATTTCCAGTTCATTTTTTCGTTGGAGCAGACCATTGGAGTTCCATAGGAGTATTTTTAGAGAAGGTGATTTCGAATTAGTCATTGGAAGGATTAGAAATGAAAGTAGAAACTAGTTTAGTTAGAAGTTCTAAAATAGGGGATAAAAGGGATTTAAGTTCAGTTAGAAGAGGTTCCATAGAAGATTTTATAGCTGAAGAAATATCAAAAGTTGAAGTAGAAGGTTGGATAGAAGCTGTAGAAGGATATCTCCCTGTTACCTTAGCACAGGAGACCCCTGCCACGGTAGACGGTTTATCACTACTCTGCGGTGTTAGATCTTTCTCTTCTAATTTTTGAACTGATTTAACGTGTTCTTCATTTGTTTCTATTGATATTAATTTAGCTGTTGAAGGATCCATTATATTTGGAGTCTGTGAAGGGAGGGGATCTATCTCTAATCCTGATCCAGAGGTTATATGGTTGACAAATGGTTTGTTTTTTAGATATATTAGTTTTTTGAATGTAGCGCATCCTTTGTAATTGGCTGGGTGAGCACCTTCGCAGTTAGCACAAGTGGCGGGCGTTTCTCTAGTTTTTGTACAGTTTGCTGTAAGGTGTGGTCCAGCGCACTTAACACATTTGGCGGGAAGACTACAGTACCCTTTTGTATGGCCATAGGTTTGACATCTTTGACACTGTGGTGGTTCCTTTCTTAAGTATGGTTCCTCTACTTTTATTCTAGTATATAATAAAAATTCTAGATTAAAAATTTCTTGATTAGTTGGACTTTGTTCCAAATCTATAAAAAATATCGGTAGCGGTACTTTTGTTTTGGGATGTTTTGCGTTACTAATATTTTTTACTCTGTATCCTAGTTCTTCGAGTTCGAATTTGATATCTTCAATTTCTGTAGTGTGATGAAGATTTCGAATGACAACACGAAATGGTTTTTCATTCTGTAATTGATATGTGTAAAATGTTGCATTTTGTGCTTTTAATAGTTTTATTATTTTTCGATAATCATCTGGAGTAGATGGAAATATTTTTGTCTCATTTGTGTTAGAAAGACAATAAAACCCGCGAGGTCCGACTTCTGTTGATAAATTTTGACATAATTCTTTGAAGTTTTTAACTGATTTTAAATTTATAGAGGGGGGTTTAGGAATATTCTTGGTTGACAATTTGTCCTGAGTGTTAGACGACATAGGAACGGGTTGAGGTGCGATTTCTTTGGTTGAAGTAGCATTTGTTTGTTTAAGTAATTCGTTGGATGGGATAACATTTGTTGTTTTTGTGATAGACGATACGTTAGATTTCTGGTTAGTCCCTCTACTACGAGTAGACGCTTCAGTTTTGTCCTGCTTAGAAAGGTTTATGAAGGCAGGAGTCCGTTTTCTATTAATTACAACTTTAGGTTTTTGAGTTTTGGTCATACTGCAAGTCTAAATGTGACTTGCTATTTGAGGGATGAACTTTTTTATACCAATTGGTTAGTTCTTTTCTTACTAACCTGATAAAAAATTACTAACCTTCTTTTTTTGAAGAGGGGGTATATCTTTCCGGATCAACTTTTTAAAGCTGTTCTTTTTGTTTTCCAGTACTTCTTGCTTTCAATATTTTCGTCTAGAAGTCGATCAATATCGAGTTATTTCAATTTTAATCTAGATTGAATTTTTAAAGTTATTTACTTTTTCAATCGATCATATGTTTTTTTTTTTTAATAAATAAAATAAATTAACACAAATAAGTTGATGTAATATCCTCCAGAATATACACATCTGTAGAAAAAGGAAAAAATAGAGACAAGGAAATTAACAGAAGATGTCTGTATAAGACGGAGAAAGAGAGAAAAATCATATTTTGTTTATTCAATATAAATGAAAACTTTCATTGTATGTTATGTATCGTACTACTCTGAAAATTCACCCACCTATCAAATACCCAGCTCCCACTTGTAAGACCATTGTATTATTGACCCATTTAACGGTAGTAGGTTAATGGAGAGACCCAATTACCTAGAACCAGGACCTTACTCCAAGACCATCGACTCACTTCTCAACTCTAGTAACTAACTTCACCTAGCTCAGTGCTGATAACTGATAGCAGGCGTCAATAAGGAACTAAACATTCATTTGTTTTGAACTAAACATTAGTGGATGACACAATCTAATTCCGAACTAAAGCCTATTTTAAATTAGCATAAACATCATACACCAATCTGCCCTCATCACATAAAATCTAAATGTTTTAGGGACTCATTATTAAAATATAAAATAAAGTTATCTATTCTATTTATTTATTGAAATTTACAACTGTATTTACTAATACTACAACGTTTTATTTTATTTACTGTACATAGAGTGTGAATGTGATCTTTGAACACTATTATAAATGTCCTTGAGACAGATTGTAATATTTTTCAATAAATAAGATTAAAAAAATACTACAACGTAAAAATAAGTAAACATGAATCGCTATTATGACATGGATAGACTTGTAGGGAAACAACTCATTGGTATCACTCCAATTATAGTTATAGATAGAATGTTCCTGAGGTTATCTTCTTTTCATATGACAAATAACAATCCTACGAACATTGTTTGGAATCGAAGAGGATACAATGTTAGAAAATAGTGCTTCAGAATGGGCATGAAGTTTATTGTGGAAAGATAGATATGTCTGGGTTGGGCTAAACAGGAAAACTCTTGCTACTATTAGTGCAAAAGGTCATATGTAAACAATGAGCGTTCTACAAGAGAGCATAAAAACTGAATATTCTCCGGTCTGCAAATACTGTAATCAGTCTCCTACTAAAGAAAATACCACAGGGAAATGAAATATGAAAGAATACTAACAAATCATAAAAAATAATAAGTGTTTATGCTCTATTGTAAAAAACTCAATTTTCACAGACGACCTTTTGCATCAACTGTAGCTGTATAGAACATGAAGGTCATTATGGATAATTTTATTTGTGACATTAGGAGTACGGGGTACATTTGTACCTGTAATAGACACTATACCAGTAATGGACAATTTTCAACTCATTAACATATAATAAGCTTTATACGTCCAAAAATTAGTGGAAATATGACTAGATTTGAAGCTAGAACGCTTACGAAGATTATGTTTGAACCTCAGGTGATAACATGCTACAATAGCCGATTGGTTGATTTTTAAAGTCAGTTTTCAATGTAGCAAGGATGGGTGTTAGTTTCAGAGAGCTTTCATTACCACTTTTCAGTAGAAAACAGGTTTGAATTTTTTAATTTATTTATCTGTAGTTTGTCATTTACTTGTTTAAAACTATAAAGATTGTTTTTTATTATATAAAACAAATACGACGACCAGAAAACCTAAGTGTCTATTACTGGTACAAAATACGCTGTCAGAATAATACAAATTTTCATTTTTTTTCAATAATAATAAATTACTTGATGTATGGAAAAAATGAAATTGGTAAAATACTAAATTTGCTGACAATTAAACCCATTTGAAAATATCCATCGCCAGAACTTAAGTTGTGATTCACATTAATGTTGAAAAATTCTCGTTTAAGTGTCTATTGCCGGTACATTTACTTTAAGGAGCATAGAATTTTCCGAAGGATTTTGGATTGTAAGGATTGGATATTAGAGGGATTTGATGCTTTGGTACAGTCCCAAACATAAACTCCGTAAATCCAAAAGGCCTTGGTCAAGTAAATGAGTCTTTTATATTTAATTGCCAGTTTGGAGCGTTTGTCTCGATAGAGTCGTAAGTGACTGATTTGAACAACAGGAAATCAGGTTACCTGATTTAGTTGATTGATTGTATAAATTAAAATTTGCTTTTTAACTAAAACGAAATCTCCATTAATTTCCAAAAGAGTTAGAAATTACTATGAAACCAATTTATATATAAACTTAGCTTATGAACAGTCCGAATGCTTTAAATAATAATATAAAATTGGTTATAATATATCTAAATATAATAAATAATCTAAGACAGGAATACCCAAACATTCTCTATTTGATAGCACCAATTCATTTGTACTTTTTTCTCTCTCGATTATTCATTCTTTGATGTTAATAGTAATAAAAAAGAATAATCATCTTATAAGTATCCTTCTTGAAGATGCCGTGAGTGATGCTAGAATCGGATTGATTAGTCTGCGGAATCGGATTGATGCCGCACGGCATAGGAAATGTGACAAAAACTTCAGGAGGTTATCGAGGGATCAAGCAATACAGCATAGAAAACATGCTGAGATTGAAGATAATCATGACGATGCAAGAACATTCCTCATTCCGGTCCTTTCTATCCTTCTTCAAATGTATGTAATGATTAGTTGTGGATTTTCCTTTTGTGAATAAGATTTCCCATGTCTCTTGGAGGGACTTTAATGTGATTTTTATCTGCCGGTATGTGCAATATATGCTGTCGTAAAGAATAAAATAAAATACTAAAAATTAACTTTACTAATTTATTAACTTTGCTAATATCACAGATATCTGTATTAATAAAACAGTTTTTAATATATATCTCATAAATTTAGAATTGAATACTCCATTCAGTAAGTCCAACCTAGCAAAGAAACCTTTTTCAGTTATTCCTCTACGTGTCGACCGCCTACAGCAATATGAACATCCCGTGCGATGAAGCAGAAGAGAGGGTTATTCCTTCTTGTCAAGATTGGAGGGTTATCTTGCAGGTGCTGGAAAAGGAACCTACAACATTGGGATCATTGAAAGAAATGTAGGTCTAACATTAAATTTTAGAGAATAAAATACTGGCGAAATAAAATATTTTTTATAATTATTGTTTATAGGTTGATGTGTGGACACCCTAATAGTTACACGTGGAGCAAATCGATGTCTGAGCAGATAGTCGATGAACATAAGAACCTATTTCCCACAGTTATCATCAGACCAGCGATAGGTTAGTATGATTAACATATTTTTTTTTTCTGTTAGCTTCTATCTATACATTTGGTTTGTGGCCTTCAACGTAGTACTGAGATATTTATTGTTGTATAGACATTTCATGATGGAATGCTCCGAGCAACACTCCCTTTCTCCCACTATCTTAACCTTCTTGCCTTCATATCATGAGATATTAATTGACCAGTTTCCATAAGTAGTTTTTTATTAGTCCTTTTCGATCATGCGTTCAGATCGCTCTGATTATCATGAGGAGCATTTTTCTCTCAAATCTTACAAATCCTTCTATCAAAGGTGTTGGTTACTGGCATAGCTTCGCAGTCGTATAACCGAACTGACTTAATCATTGACCACCCTAAATTTGATATTTCTTGAGATTTTTCCGAATTTCAATACTTTTGAAGGTTATGCGGTAGTTTAGGTTAATGTGATGACGAGATATTCAATATGTTATGAGGTTTAATATAAAAAACAGTCAATTACGCAACCCAATAATACTCAGATTAATTAACAGAACTCACTCAGATTATGTGGCTGTATTTACTAGGTGTTACTGAAACGGTAGACATCCTGTTCTAACGGAAAACGCTTTTGGTGCGCCGCTTATTTATGCAACCATTTTAATTTCTCATACCTTGGGAAGGTGACAAGAGACCTGCAAGTATTGGGTTTGAAAATAATTCATTTCGGTTTTTCTGTTTATTTTTATGTCGCTATGATACTTCTTATCTGATGAATTAATTCCTAAGGTGGATTGTTTATCCTGTTTGTAATATACCAACAACTATATCTGTTGACTCTTGTTAAAGTAACTTAGAATTCTGTTTGATATTACACAGTGAATATGCAAGAAAATATCATTCATTATCGGCATATTTTGTTGTTTTAACAAAAGGTAAGCGTGCTGCAGAAGCTCATAGAAAAATTCGCTGAGTTTAGGGGGCAAACGTATCTGTCAAAATTGGTTTGCCAAATTTCTTTCATTTTTGACATCAATGATGTGAAACGGTCTGGTCGCTCATACGACATTGAAACGAGCAATGTTAAGGCCATTGTTGACCAAAATCCCACCCAATCAGTGCAAGAGATTGCTATGGCCCTAAATATGTCGCACACAAGCGTACAAAACAATTTGCACAAGCTCGGCTATGTTTACAGGCTTAAAGTTTGGGTCTCTTGGCAATATGCATTTCTGTGTATGATTCACTACGGAAACGGCAACAAAACTACAAATTTATAAAACAGGAGATGAAAATCTTGAGGATCCAGTAGTAAGGCTCCTAGAAGAATATCAAAACCCAGACTACACCCAAAGAAAATAATGCTTTTTATATGATGTGATTTTAAGAGTGTTATTTTCTATGAGCTATTGCTATCAGGTCAACAATTGATTCAACTATATGCTGCTCACAATTAACCAAATTGGATCAATCAATTAAAAACAAACGCCCAGAACTGGCAAATCGGAAAGGTGTTGTGTTCCACCAAGACAACGCTAGTTTCCACACCTCATTGGTCACTCGCAACAAATTATTGAAACATGGATGGGACCTTTTGCCGTACCACCCCTAACCACCCTAGCTCCAAGTGACTACCACTTATTCCGATATTTCCAGAGCTACACGAATGAAAGAAATTTCTAAAGGAAGAGGACATAAAAAACTACTTGGATCAGTTTTTTAACAAAAAAACTCCCGACATTCTATGAACATGGCATTATGCAATTAGAGGTAAGATGAGAAAAAGTCATATTAAATTATTTTTTTTATAATCTATTTATTGAATAGTAACACAATCAGCCACTGCTAAAGGGCTATAAGTATTTGGGCTAAATGTTCTCATTCATACAATATATACAACAAATATGAATATAAAAAGTAAATAAATAATATAGATGAAGAAAGTTAATAAACAGAAAAAAAAATAAACAAATAAAATAAAATAAAAACTTCTAAACACAATCGTACCTAATATTAAATGATAGTGAATTTTTTTTTTTCGGTTGGCTCTACAAACTTTGTAGATCTTTGGCCGCCTGAACCAGCCTTTTTCACCTCTGTCTATCTTGGGCTACTGCTTTCCAGTTTGCGGCATGAAGCTCAGCCGTATCTTTGTTTATCCTATATATCCATCTGGGTTTGGCCTCTCTCGTGGTCTCTTGCCTACTACTCTGGCATTCATTGTCGTGTAGAGGCGTGCTGATGGATTACAACGAGCTACATGCCCTGCCCATCTTAACCTTCTTGCCTTCATGTCATAAGATATTGACTGACCCGTTTCTTTCAACAGTTCTTTATTGTTCCTTCTCCTCCATGTGTTAAGGTTCTGGTCCCGTATAGGTCCTGTTATCCTACGTAGAACTTTTCTTTCGAATCTCTCTATTCTGGCTTCTAAAGTGCCTGTTAGAGTCCAGGTTTCACAACCGACCAGCAGAACTAGCTTAATATGAATATATAGTAGATTAAAATAAATTTTATGTCTGAAATATATTGAGTTTTATTTCATCTTGAAAAACCAAAAGGACTTGTTTGCCGATCCAACATCTCAAAAAATGTATTCATATTCTTTCGTGTATATTAATAATTGTATTATACCATTTATTATGTATAAATATAGACAATTAATCCAGATAGTTATATCTAAGACAAGCCATGATAAATAATAAACTGATGGACTTCGCAGTGGGGGCGACCTACAGGGAACCCTTCCAGGGCTGGGCAGACATCCTGTGCGGCCTCAGTGCAATATCCGTCCCGGTCGGCCTGGGCCTGATGCGGGTCGCCTACACCCGGGACGAGTGCTACCAGGACTACATCCCCGCCGACATCGCCATCAGCGCCATTCTGGTCGCTACCTGGAGGAAGTATCTCGAGTAAGTATGTAGTGGTTCAACATTAAACTATGCAAGTGTAGGTAATGAGGCCCAGTTTGTACTGTTTCAAACGGGTGAATAATGAATTCATTGTTTTAAACAAAAGCTAAATAAACGTAGAAATATTGATCCGGCGTAGCCTACATTCCTTTATATTGTAATAATCAAAGGAAAATCGGCGAGAAAAAAAACAGCACTTATAAAAACTTTTTGAATTTAAAATAATTTGCTATCATTTCAATACTATAGCCAATTAATAAATTCTTTCATTCTTCATATTAAGCCATTTTTTTTTCATTTTTAATGATAATTCGAGACAGTTTTTTTTTTTTTTAAATAAACCAAATTTAAGGTACTTAGGAGGAAGACATATCGAATATTAGATATTTAAGCCCTCTAAGGTGACATCGATGTGGATAAGACCTAGCTGATCTTAATAATACACTAGGGAGCGGGGTACCTCAATGGATGAGCACTGACTTCCAGTGCTCAAAGTCCTAGGTTACTTAAAGAGAACTAAGAAATAAATAATAATAAAAAATAAAATAAATATAATTATTTATTTTTACTATTTTTTATACTGACTGATCATCCCAAATATCCTTCTCTTCTATTAAATATTCTGTGTTAAATATTTTATAATTACATAATAAACTATTTTTTGTTCTTTTCAAGACCTAGAAAAGGAGAGACAGACGTTTACAATGTCGGCATTTCTAAGCAACTTCCAATCAAGACGTATCATTTAAAGAAATACAGCGAAGAAGTTACGAGAGAATATGCCTCCCAGAATACAATATGGCCGATGCACTTTCTCTTCACCACCAACGAAAACCTCTATTACCTTCTGTTTATCATGTTTCAAGTTATTCCAGCAGGAATAATGGATTCATTGCTTTATTTAACTGGCCACAAACCAATGTAAGTCTCGCTAAGGTAATATGTTGAAATTGTACTTGCTGATTAAATTTAACTGACAAGTGTTAGATAGATATGGATTTTCTATACAATACCAGGAATAAAATTCTATAAAAACTTTACTACTAATTTACAGGCTTATGCATTTGACGAAGAAGATGTCAAACGTATTAAGGATGTTCAAAAGATTCAGTTCCAACCAGATAGAGTTTCCCAACGATAATTTTCTACAACTAGAGAAGTACGTAAGTGAAAAGGATAAGGTGTTCTCGATGAGCATCGAAGGTTTGACCGAACTCTTGTTCATGAGGTTCGGGATGAGGGCGGTACTTAAATACTACTTCAAGGAGGACATCAGCGAGGACAAACTCAATAGGAACAGGAGGCGTATATTTTGGTAAATTTATATTTTTATAAATATACTAATATTTATAATATTGATTAATATCTACTAAACAGTATATAAATAAATAATTTTAATTTTTCAATTAAGATTATGATATTTCTTTAAAGTAAAAGTGGTGCATGGAAACATTAAACTTGAACTTCAAGATGTATATGTATAGGAATAGTGTGTATTGTATAGTTTGTACAGTGATCAGAAGGAATCGACAGAGCGTGTTCAAACTAGGATAGCATGACAGTGGATGAAGGAAGAGACTTAGACAGGATGATCTCAAGTGTCAGGAGCAGATCACTCTTGGTCTACGGGCTAAGAGATGAACCTTATGACTCCGCAGGACGGAAACCACAAACGGAGAGATGAATCCTCAGACTTTTTAGGGGGGATGAAATGCTAAAGGAGGGATGAACCTCCTGACAGACTAAGCATATAGCGGAGGGATGAGCATATGGACCTTGTATGGAGAGAGAAAAATATTAGAGAAGGTTACAGGAGCATAGTGAGATAAAAGGCAGTTAGATATAGAACCAAAAAGCGTATATACAATAGGCCTACACAAGTTTATTCAGTTTTAAATCTTTCATTCATCCAAGACATGTCTTTCATGTCAAGACATGATGATCATCATCATTCATGACAAGACATGTTATTTTTTACCTCACTCTGTCGACACTGAATAAAAAAAAAAAAAATTTGTACCACTACAACCCATGAAGGGTCTTGGGTGCAGTACTATGTGAGGAAGAACTGTCTCAAGACCAACGGTTGTGCAAGGATGTGATGGGGCCGATATTACGCTCAACCGCCAGGTTTTACCCCTTAATTATTTTTTTTTAATTAAGGGTACCCATTTTATAGAGGCTGGGTTTGTCCCAGGAGGGTCTCTCGACCCCAGGGTCGATCCACGACTAATGAAAAATGACTAGTCATTAGCCGGATTCGAATCTAGGACCTTGAGCTCTAGAAGTAAGTGCTCACCCACTGAGCTCCCTGAATAAAAAAAAAAGTTTAAAATGTATTTTATTAGCATTTATAAAGTAGAGGTATTGTATTGACAGTATTGTGTTTTGCATCCGAACACACCTCCTTACAGTGAGAACAGACCACACCACCGCAGCTTCCAAACGTGCTACTATTTGTAGTCTAATCAATGTAGTGATTATAGAGGGAAGCGAAAAAAATACGATTTTTTATTTTTCATTCAGACTAGTGAGGAGGTAAACATACTAAAAGTTCCTACTCCAAAATTGTAAACCGAATTGAGAGAAGAGGAAGATACACAGAATGCACTATTTTCGGTTCGGTGCTTATATGAGGGAAACCACATGTTTTAGCCATAAGGACATTCTACATACAATTACAGTTGATGAAATGTCTGATAAGATCAATGGTATTCATTCTTTCGCTACCTCGTATAGTTGCGAAGCTCAATAATCGCTGATATCAAGCGATGAAATCTTCATTGTACGAAAAAGCCAAGGGAAAGAAATTCACCACAACATATTTTCAAGTACATCCGCAGTTCTATAAAAGTAAATTGTTCGGTGTCATTAAATACTATTCTGGACTCCAAGAATCCAATAGAACTACTTTTAGAGCTCCATTACTCAATCATATAGAAATATATTAACCATATATAATAAAACATATAATTTCTTGGGAGAAATATGTCCGTCATCTAATTTAATTAATTAATCTCTAACCATAAAATTCTGGGTTGCTTCTGCATTGAAATTCACTGATGAACAATACGTTTTTTACACCAATTGAATTAGAGAACATATTGCATATATTCTAATTATAATTATGTCAAAAATTGAATTTTTTCCATTTTCTTCTATACTCCATTTTGAATATTCAGTGAGTGGACTATTGAAGTTATTAGCTAAATATGGACCTTTTTTATTATTGGAAAAGTACAGAATCAACCTTATATACGTTCTTCATCATATGAATTTTATTTCTGCTGAAATCTATTGGATATTTTTTTTTAAAATGCCCCATTGATTTAATATTTAATAACCATATCATGTTATATCTCAATCTGTTGGAATCTAGTCGTCTCTACAACGAAGTATAATTTTAACTAAACATAATACTTTTAAACTTTTAACATGAAGTTCCTTACACAGGACTAATATAGGAGTGAAAATTCAAAGAACAAATGAAGTTAGTGATATTTTTTTTTAGGTTGAAGATTTTTGACAAATGCCTTATTTACACATTCTACATACTTGGATGTTGGCTCATATTGCGCTTATTATCTTCGATTGAAGTTGTGAGGTCCGTAAGCTACATAACCTACAAAGCATTCTGGGGTTGTAGCCTGTAACCATGGAATCAAATGCTGTAAAATGGTAAGTTAGGAGTTTTAAAATTCGCTATTAACAACAAACTAGTTCATATAATTTATAATTTATTTTGGTTTTATTCATATTTCTGGTGTTCTCTCTGTGCATTTTTCCATTTATTTACCTAGAATATTTGGAACGTAAAGCCGTAAATATATAATATTTTATAATACTTATACATTTTTTTTTAATAATATGTTAGTTTAATTATTTTTAATAAAATAATTATTTTTTAGGAGTCCCGAAAATGATGAACTCTCCGTAACAGAAAACCAACTCAGGAAATTAATATAAAATAATACATGGATCATTAATAACATTATTATGTAAATATAAAGAGAGATTATATATTCATTATTGCAAATATATGCTTATCGAATTATTTAATTTGTTATTAAGTGACATTAGCACATAAAACAAATAAAGATCTTTTCTCTTCTATTTCATTTTAATAGAATTCCAACTAGTAATTATTATTTTTTCATGTAGATTATAAACATATAGTTAATATTTTCAATATGCTTAAAAAAATAATATACATCTGTTTTGGTTTAACAGTTTATTAAGAATTTCCAAACATTTAATTAAGTAGAGGTATTATAAAATAGTATTCAGCTGAAATATTGAGCAAATATGTCTTATTTGAATCTCAATTTAATGAAGTTTTTAGTCAATTGTAGAAACAATATCTATTATAACAAAACAAACCGAAAGTTAATATTATAATCAAAATATATAGATGAAATCAGTGTTGGTCGGACCTGCAAAGCAAAATATTAAGTTGTACCTCATCGAGGTACCCTTACCAGAGAAGAAGCCATTTTTTTTTCAAATAAATTTACAACTAATTAAATTATATTAGCTCATTGAAGAAAGCAAAATTTTCAATAAGATTAATTTTGCCATTCCTTTCATCCCCACCACTCTATTAATAATCATTAATCATATCATAATATTAACTCATTTTATTTAACGGATAAAAGTCACAACAATTGGGGATTCAGGAATAATAGGGTTTTATAGGTTGATAGGACTAAAAATTAAACCTATTAAAAATGTACCGATTAAACAAAATAGAATTTACCACACTGCATGTCTATGTTACCTAGGCAAATTATAGATATGGACAATATGATTAATTATAAATAGGAAAAAGTACTTCAGACCCGCGCAAAAAATTTATTTAGATAGGATATCTAAATAACACACTTTTCTACCCCAAAATGCACTGAATTTGTTACTTCTGTGTAAAAATACATTTCTTTTATTAGTTGTATCCGTCTCATCTTTTTCTGTTGTTAAGTGAATTGTCTTTATTGACTAAATAAGAACGATCATCTGTAAATAAGCTCTAAATATGTAAAATAAAACAATCTTTATTTGATTTTAAATGCATGAAACATTGAATACACTATCGAAGAAGAGTCACAAAGCTTCGAAAAAAATATGTAAATACATATAAATCAAATTCCTCATTATAATATATTTAATTATGGTTTACTGTATTCGATTTACTTGGAATATAATAAATTTACAGAATATGAGAACTGTAAAATTATTTTGTTTTAAGTAATTCATCTTTATTATGCAATCAGATGAACGGGCCTCGCCCGACATTACGCCTCCAGTACTTAAATAGATAAATACTGTTTTTTATTTTTGTTTTTGTTTTATTTGTACTTGCATTCACCTCTATCCCAGAATGTAATTAGCAGTGTTATTCATTTATATTATCTTATAATACTTTGTTTCCTTTAGGTATTGAAACAAAGTGGCGACTTTCTGTTCACTGCACTTCCATGGTGTTGGTACTTTTTGTTGGATTGTTTCAAACTGAGGGCGCTGTAGTAGTATTTCATTAATTATTGGGTCTGTTATTACACTTTAGACTACAGTTGCTCAAATGCGAGACCGAGACGAGTCTTGGTCTTGAAAACTCACTCTTGGTCATGGTCTTGGTCTTGCGAAAGAGTCTTGCAGTAACTTATTAACTTATTACTATAGAGATATTACTGCAATTTTTTAGATAGGAGCAACCTAACTAAGCTCGAATGAAAAAATAGAGGAGTTAAATACAAATATATATGTCATAATAAAACAGTCAGATAGTTGCTAACCATTCGAGCTGATTTTAATAGAGAATTTGATATATTTTTATTTTTTAATTCTTTATTATTTTCTTAAAAGTTTATACTGGTCTATCAGTGCAAACAGCTTTAAGTGTCTTGTCATAGTATTAATTGTTTTGTATATAGTTTTGTTTGTTTTGTATATAGAATGTTTACCTTATATTTTCTTTACATTATTTCTTTTTTTCAATTGATTTTATTTTGGCCAGATGTAACCTTTTTATTTTGTTCTATTTTGTTATTCTCAAGGAACTGTGTCCCAGAATAAAATTATTTTTCTATTCTATTCTATTCTATATGGGTTACACCAATTATCAACATATAGTAACTAAGATTTTCAAGTATTAGGAATTATTTTGCCTTAACGTTTATTTAAAAAATCGATTTTTTTTTTACTAGTCCTGGTCTTGGTCTTGCAACAGTTAGGCGGCCTTGGTCTTGGGGAAACACTACATTAGACACTTGGGTGATTCTAGACCTCTTAAAAGATACCTCTCTCTCTGAAAAAAAAACAGTGACCTATTCATATTCGACACAGAATGGTTTATTCTCTTCTCGATTTTCTTCTGCTTTTGGTCTGTTTGTCACACTCCGTTTTCATTTTCTAATAAATATTTCTTTGATACTAATAAATCATTCCACATATTACGTAATGATAATAGATAAATAAAATTTTATAACAAACAATTATTCAATAGTGGAAACATCAGCATTCGGTATCGAAGAGGGGAGTGAATGGAAATAGGGACGTGACCATATTGTGAATGGAGTTGTCACCCACAGACCCACCCCCAACCGTAGCCAATACTTAGTCCAATATTCGGCAACAGGAATAAGATTTTCAACAGGGAAATAAGAAATAAATCGAAATAAGGATCGCCATTGACGATTTGGGAAGCGCGCGGTCCTTGATGTGAGAGCGTAGACATTGACCTCCACATGAAATTAATTTCTGGCAGCTACCGAACAATGACTACAGCTATTTCCTTACAGGAAGTGACAAATTTGAATTTATAATGGCTCGAATAGGAACACTGCCACCACTAAAAAAATAAATAATTTTCAAAGGTGCAATTTCAAGAGAAACAAGCAAAAACGCAACGTTGCTATTAATCTAAAGGAAATTATATTTTCATTATGAAAAAAATAATTTTTTTTTAGATATTGAGAATTATAATTAGTAAAGACCTACGTTATCGCTGTAATAATATATTGAAAACAGATTGGAATTCATTATAAGATTTATTAAAAAAAAATATATATATATTATATTTAATGAATTGTCTTAATATTTGACAACAATTATCAAAATATGCCAAACACTTGTATTGTAAGTCCCTTGTAAATAAATAATTGTATAGAAATAATCTGACTTACAGGAAAACGTTGATTATTTCTAAACTTAAAATCGATTCTACCAATATTTTCATTTATCTTGTTTGGCTTTAAGACTAGCTAAAGCAAGTCCTATTTTGCCAATAAAATATTTTAATTGTCATTAATGAAGATAAAATTAAACTGGATATTTATTGAATATACGACTGCTGAATGTAACTTATATAGAACTTGAACTAGAAAGAATAATAGTTAAAAACTGATGTAACAGTAGCTTCTTAACAGTTATTATATAACTATTTTCATGTCATTCAAAAAGTTTATCAAGTCACGGGCTTTATCTTCATTCATCGACCAAAGAAAGTTAGCTCCATCATCCGTAGTTTGCGATCCTAAGCTAATTCTTCTTCACTTCTCGAATCTTTGCACTTGAAGGCAATGTGTCTTGGATCCTCCAGGCATTGGCATGTTGGAAAATGACCGCTCTTAGCTATACCTATTAGATGTAGATATTTATTAGTTCTACCATGATTTATCTTAAGCCTGATCAGCTTTACTAAGCTAGAGCGGTGGAAGTGAAATTTAAGAGTCGCAAACCATGGAATCAGGGCTATCTTTTGTTGAACTGCATGATGGTCCTTACCCTTCGATGCACAGGTAATGAAGATATAAATTATAAAGAAAATAGATGCTTTAAAAAAAATATGTTTGACTCAGAAAAGTGGATGTAAGTAAAACACACACACATACTACAAAATTTACATACTGCCACTATTCTCAGTCAAATATATTTTTTTAAAAGCGCCTATTTTCTTTTTAATTTATATCTTCATTACCTGTGCATCGAAGGGTAATGACCATCATACAGTTCAACAAAAGATAGCCCGGAATCTATGGAAGAATTTTTTATTAGATTTTTAATAAAATATATATTATATTTGTACTTCCTAGTTTTATTATTTATAATTAATCTCTTATTTTATATAATAAATTTAATTTTCTTTCCTTTATTAAGCTATTTAAAATTTACTTTGACTTAATATCTCCGCATAATGTTGGTTTAATTGTTTTGAATCCACTTAGAAGTTTACGGTATAATTTATATTAAACAATAGAAAATGTACCATTACAACTCATAACTCATGAAGGCACTAGGTTCTGCACTTAGTTATTATTTATTTTTATGTTGAATTATAAAAATAATAGAAATAGTAATTGAATATGTAAAAGTATTTTTCTAAGAGATAAATAAGATAATACGATAAATGAAGACTAAGTGAAATTAGCCTAAATGATACTAATTACAAAAAGAAATATAAGTAAGTAATTAAATATTGTAATCATGAAAATAATTGTTTATAAAAATTTTAAGGCTGTAACTGGTATTGTTTTATAAGAAAAGATTTTTAAAAATGGTCATATTGGCAGATAAGGCAGTAGTTCCTATTAATTGGCATCTTGTTTCTTCGACAGCCGACAAATATTTTCAATTAACAATAAAACTTTCATAAAAGTAGCGCTGCAATAGTATTGAACATGTCTAGTTTTGTGCTTACAAACTACGATTTATAGATATCGTTATTATTTTGTTACCTGCCGAAGCTTACGATCAGCATGCTCATGGGTGGTTCAAAAAATTCAAAAGTGAAGATTTCAACGGAGAAATGAAGAATATGGAAGATCACTGCAAAAAAGGACGTGATCTATTATGAGCTGTTATAATCTGAAGAAACCATCAATACTAAACGCTGTCGGCAAACAAATGATCGATTTGTATCTAGAATTGTGCAAAAAACAGCAAAAAAAAGGACAACACAAAGCTATTTTGTTTCTTGATAATGGACCAACAAAAAAGGAAACGATCGAGGCGTTCAGTTGGAAAATATCAGCGTATGCTGTTTATTCACCACAATTGACTATGCCCGACTACTATTTATTTTCGTCGGTATAGAAGCATGTATGAATGTACAAAAATAACTTGATATCTAGTTTGCCAATAAAGAGCATCAGTTCTTCT